GGTTGACGCCCAGCCGAATCGATTCACCGACAGGGTGAAGTTCTCCGGCGACCTTGTGCTTGGAGACGAGGACCGCATCCCTGGACGCGGGGCTCGGGCCGTACCATTTGATCTCGCCGCGCCTGTTCACGCCAAAGACAGCGATGTGCGTGAAGGGATGCGCCATCATCTTGTGGGCGAGCTTGAGTTCACCGTCGGCGGGGCAGGCGAGGACGCCAAAAGGAGACTCGTCCTCGCCGCGGAAAATCACCGCGTCATCTTGCTCGCGTGTGACGCAAAAGAGCGCCAACGCGGGCGCTTCGGGGACAACGCTCGGGCGCTCTACTGAGGTCGCCGAGCGAGCCTGGAAGCCGTCATCGAGCGGAGATTGTTGGACGCCTCGGCCCGAGATGGCGAGCAGTGAGAAGAGCAGCGCAGCGGCCGCGGCCAGACCAGGAGCGGCGCGTTTGATCCTTGTGGAGAAAGGGATGATTCGTGCGCCGATTTCTTCTGTCGTGTCGGTCGCTGGCGTCGGTGTCGGCGCCTGCTCGTTGTTCGAGGAGCGCTCTCGCGCGAGCATCGTATCGAGCGCGTTCAGAAAGCTTGCCTCTCCAAACGTTTGCTCGAACGAAGAGCGGCTCTCGGGTTCGGTGCCTTCGAGCTCTCGCGCGGCGAGCGCGAGGTGGTCGAAGTGCTCCCTCGCCTCATCATTTTGCCGCAAAGCGTGCGTGAGGTCGCCGGGATCGACGCCTTCCGGGAGGTGCTCTCGTGTAAAGAGCACCTCGAGCGCTTGGCGAGGGTCTATTTTATTGTCCGTCGTCACAGAAGTACTCCCACCAGGACCGAGAGGTCCCGGAGCAATTCGCTCGCATCCAGGCTGCCGATCACACCCTCGCGCTTGAGGTGCCGTAGCAACTTGGAGCGGATCTCACGGATCCGCTTGCGAACGTCGTTGCGCGATTCATTCAAGTGATCCGCGAGCTCCTGTTGGGTCATATCTCCCAACATATGCAAGCGGACCGTGTCGCGATCTCCCTCATCGAGTTCCTCGAGGAAGACGCTCAATATTTTGCCGAGCTGGCTCTGGAAGGCTTTCATCTCTGGAGATGCGGATGATTCTCCGCTGCTCGAGAGCTTATCCAGCGCGTCTTGCTCGCTTTCATCTTCTCCCGCCATCCGCGCCAGAGGCACGAAGTAGCGTTGTTCGACCTGTTGCTTGCGGAACTGGTCGATGACCTGGTTGCGCACGATCGCCAACAGGTAAGGGCGCCATGGTTTACCGGGGTTCCAGGCCTGCCGCGCTTCCTCGCGGAAGGCGCGTAAAAATCCTTCCTGGATGCTCTCCTGGAGAAGGAACGGTTCCTGAAATCCTCGAAAGCGCACGGTCTTGCCCTGGCTCGTGAACGTGAACCCTAACCTGAGCAGCTTCTCTACCGCGGGCACGTGCGCGTGATAGAGCTGCGCCAGGAGTTCTCGGTCTCCACGACGAAACGCCTCGACGCGTTCTGGATCATCTTCAAGGTTCATCCATCTGCCACGTTTTGGCGCCCGAACATCCCCCTTTACGGGTGAGCTCGAAGGATTGGTAAATTATTTTTCGAAGAGAGGTTCGCGACGTTTATCGCTCGGCGTATGCGCGCTCTATAAGAGGTTGTACGCCGGAGCCCATGAGCACAGAGTCCTTTGCTGGGGTCTTGAGGATCCCTTCCTTTGTCGAGAGCACCGCCCAGTAGCCATGCTCGAGGTCGATCCATGGATAGAACCCATAAGCGCCAGGGCTCGATATGCGGATGTGTTCGTTGCATCCGTTCGTGAAGGTCTCGGACGCGCACTCGCGCCATAACCCCAGGCCGTAGTGCCACTCGAGGTTAGCGTCTGTGAGTGGTGAGTGCGCGAGTGTGACAGCTCCCGATGGCGTATAATCACTCGTCATCGTATCGAGCGAGTCCGCGAGGTAATCCCCTTTCAAGGTTGCCTGGAGGAACTTCGCGTAATCCTCGCCGTTGGACTCGATGCCACCTGCGATTCTCGGGTGCTCCGGGCCGGCGATCGCGTAGTGTGTTTTGGCGTCCAGCCCGAGCGGCTCGATGACTTCCCTGGAGAACAACTCGTTCCATGACTTGCCCGTGGCACCTTCTGCCATCATCGCCGCGAAGTGCATATGCACGGGTCCATAATGAAATGTGGTGCCTGGCTCCTCGTGGATGAAGTGCTCGTCATACATCTCCTTACCGCACTCCTCGAACGTGACCCTCGTGCGATTGACGCATGTCACCTCGAGCGGCGACCCCCCGAAGCCGGAGGTGAAAGAGAGCAGGTGCGCGAGCGTGATCCTGCTCCTCGGGTCCTCTGGATCATCGGTCCACCACGAGATGTATTTTTGCGGGTGATCCTCGAGCGAGAGCTCGCCCCGTTCGACCAACCTCATGATGGTCGCTGACGCCATCCACTTGGACGCCGAGGCGATCCTGTGACGCGTCTGTGGCGTCACGCTCCCTCGCGTGTACGTCAGGATCACGCCGTTCTCATCCCCGACCTGAAACGCGAGCTCCCCTGGGGTCCGCGTCGCGTCGAGTTGATCGCAGACCGCCTGCCAGGGCGGAGGAGGCGTCGCCTCTCCCTCGACCTCGCACGTGCTCTCTTGCTTGCCGCCGCATGAACCCGCGCAAGCGATGATGCTCACCACGAGCACGAGCAGTCCCGTGAAAGCGCAGGTTTGGTTTCGCGACATCGGCGCTCCAGAGTGAGTGGTCTCCTCGAATCCTCTCCGCAATATATCAGCTTATGCGGCGAGAGGGCCAGTTTGCGACCTGTGCTCGCCGCATCGAGTGTTGCTGTTAATGAGCAGAAAATTGCTCATCAGCCTTGACTTTGGCTATGTAATGAGCAAAAAATTGCTCATTGGTAATCGGAGAGTGTCATGAGCCAACAAAACAACACCCCTGACGGCGCCCCCGAGGCGCCAGATGCGATCGCGCCCCAGGAACTCCAGTGGCGCGTCGTGTACTCGTTGCTGCGTCCTGCGGTGCGTCTGGCGAGCGTATTCGAGCTCTCGCTGCGCGACCTCAAGGAGTGGTTGGGGGTGTCTTACCTTCACGAGCTCAAGCGTCGGGGGTTGACCCAGAGCGAGAGCGCCGATCGCATCGGCGTGAGCCGCAGGACGATCATCAGCCTCTCTCGAAAGCTGCGAGAGAACTTCTTTGAACCCGAGCGGCACGAGGGCGCGCAGCGTCGCATCCTGTTCATGCTCTGGGCCGAGACGATGTCTGCCGGTCGCCTCAAGCAATCACTCGGTGGCGAGTTCGAGGATGATGAGATCGAGGATGCCCTGGCGACGCTCGTCGATCAGGGCGCGATACGTGGTGAGGAGCGCCAGGGCACGATCCATTACGAGCTCGAGCGCGGAGAGTTCAGGCTCTACAAGGACAACTGGATCGCGCGCATCGACGCGCTCAATAACCAGCTCGACCATATCAGTGACACTGTCTTCGCGCGGTTTTTTACCGAGGATCGCTCGAGCTTTGCTCGAACGATCACGCTCTCTGTTCGAGAGCAAGACCTCTCCGAGCTCGAGCGGTTCTACAGAGAGGTCGTCTTCCCCGAACTTGTCCGTTTGGACGAGGCCGCCGCTGGCCAAAAAGATGTGCAACCCATGGAGGTTTCGATCTCCTGGGCACCCAAGGATTTCATTTCGACCACAGAGAACTCGTTTGGCGACGGGCGCTCGAAAGGAGAGTAACGATGAGAACATATGCGATGCGATGGATTGTAGGTTTGAGTTTGGCGATGATCGGTGCGGCTTGCGGACCCGACCCGGCGCCTCAGGATAATAACGGGGATAACAACGTCGGCGGCAACGCGTGCGAGCGCGTCGAGGTCGAGGGCGAGGATTACTGCGTCTATAGAAAGCAGAACATCATCATCGAGACGGGGTATGATTGTCCCGTGGACCTGGTGCAGCGCCACCAGATCGGTGATGACATGATCGTGTGCTCGGGATCGATGGACCCTCCCGCCGAGCCTGTGGTCGAGCGCATCGAAGAGCTCGTCCCATACATGAACAACAGCACCAACAACGTCACGCCCGGGAACAACACGACCCCTCTCAACAACACCTCGACGGGAGGGCGCACTTGCATGGACGTCGAGTCCGAGCACGATGCACTCATCAGCGGCGCGGACACATCCTGCACGACCGACGCGGACTGCAAGATGATTTCAGGTGGTGTTTGTCCGCTGCGTCAATGCGGTGTTCCGGTCAACGCCAACGTCGACGCCGCAGACATCATCTCGCTCGGCGAGGAGTTCGAGCAGCTCTCTTGCAACACGGGGACTGATTGCGCCGCGTGCCCCGATGAGGAGGCCGTGTGTGAGAACAACACCTGCGTCGCGCAGTTTGTCTCGGAGGAGCGAAGCTGTGAAGATATCGAGCAGGACTTCGAGGATGCCGTCCTCGCGCTCGATACAACCTGTACCGAAGACGCGGACTGCGTCTCATTTACAGGCAGCTGCCAGTTCGGCAGCGATCAGTTCAATGTCTGCGAGCTCGCCGCCAACGTGAACGCCGATCGCAGCGCGCTCGATGACTTCACCCAGGAGCACGACAGCACGTGCGGCGGTCCGGTGGCTTGCCAGCAATGCGCGGCACCGGCTGATGCGGTTTGTGAAAACAACACCTGCGTGGTCCCAGCAGAGACGCCCACGTCCATATGCGAAGACGTCAAACAGGACTTCGATGACGCGGTCGGTGCGCTCGATACGACCTGTTCGGTGGACGCGGATTGCAAGCTCGTCTCGGGCGGAATCTGCAACCTCGCGCAATGCCAGCTCTCGGTGAATGTGAACGCGGACGCGTCGGGGCTCGAGCCTCTCGAGATGCAGTTCCTCGACAACAACTGCGACAACATGGGGCCTGTGTGTAACGCGTGTCCTGCGCTCGAGGCTTTCTGTGACAACAACGTCTGCGGGACGCGTGAAGTCAACCCGTAAGCGTGACCCTGTCCGCACCCCGAAAAGTCGAGAGCGGCGAGGAGAACCTTTGGAAAGGTCTCCTGCCGCTCTTTGTCGAAATCTTAATAAATGTTAAATACTTCCAGGAATCTGCTTGATCTTTTTGCATTACCCTGTTGAATACAGGGTATCGATCTATATGATGGAGTAGTGTCTACCACACTGTAGGCACATGTATGTCACCACTGAAATCCAAAGCACACGTCATGGATACATCGATCCTACAGAGCATCGGTTCGACCTGGTCAACGGACCGCGTCCGCGAGTTTATCTCCGCGTGTTATGACCGCCGTATGTTGATGACGGTCGTGCTCAATCACGCGTCGAACTGGATGTTGGGGCGCTTGATCTGTGAGGTCAGTGATACCCATATCCAGCCTCGCCTGGCGCGGGGTTGGGTGTCGCTCGGTTCAGAGGAAGAGACCGCGCGCGAGCTCGTCTCGCGCGATGTGTACATCGGGTCGCGCGCACGCATGGGGCGCCTCTTCGAGGGGCGCGATCACCTCCGCGGCCCTACACACAGGCTTGGCCTGGCGTCGCTTTTCGAGGAGACGTCGCTGCTGCCCCCTAACGAGCTGCTCGTGATCCCTGTGACGATCTCGGGTCACCTCGCGGCGCTGTTGCTCGGCGAGCCGCGACGGTTCAGGTTGGGACACCGAGACACGCGCCCCGAGGATGATCTCGATGTCTTGATCGATCTCGTCGATCAGGCGGCCTGTCAGCTGCGCGATATCCTCCGGCATATGAAGAAGGATCGCCTCCCTCCCGAGAACGAGCGCATCCCGTGGCATATGCTCGGTTCAGACGCAGCGATCAAGCTACGTGACGAGGTCCTCGTGACACCAAACACGAGCCAAAACATCCTCGCCGAAGAGAGCACCGGTGATTTCGCCGCGTTGAACATGGGCCCCACCTCCGGATCATTCGAGCGCTCCTCCGATGTCGCGATCACGCGCGTGGGTGACTTCATCAAGAAGAGCTGAGTCGAGCGTGACGGCAAGAAATGAAACGGCGCGGTTTTCATCGAAAAACCGCGCCGTTTCATTTCTTGCCGCTCATGAGCTCAGCTGAACGTGTCCTTGATCTGTTCTTCCTCGCGCTCCGCGCGTCGTTCGCGTTGCTTTGTAAAGAAGTAAGCCACGACGATCGAGACCCCGTAGAGGATCACGAGCGGGATCGCCATCGCGACCTGTGTGCCCACATCCGGAGGCGTCAGCACCGCCGCGAAGATAAAGCTCGCGACCACCGAGATGCGCCAGTGCTTGATCAGCGTCTCGTGCGTGATGATGCCCAGCGCGGACAGGAACATCGCCGCCACGGGGAGCTCGAAGACGGCGCCGAAAGCGAGCAGGAGCTTGAGCGCGAGCCCGTAGTGCTCCTGCATCATCAACGTCGGGCTCGAGACCTCGTCGCTGAACTTGAACAGGAAGGCGAAGCCATAAGGCATCACGAAGTAGTAACAGAAGCTCGCGCCCCCCAAAAAGAAGAGCGTGGCCAGCACGACAAATGGGATCGCC